ATAATTAGTTATGACAGTAGGTGGTTACTATTCCTAGCAACCTGACTAAGTTTCAGTGGGTCACTTTTTATTCTAGTTTTTATCAAGGCAATGTTTGTTAAGGTGAAATGCATAGTTATTTTGTATATAATTTTATAAGTTTGATGAATCAAAATACAGAATATTTCCAGCAATCTAGCAAGTACCCTTTTGTCCCCTTCCAGACAATATCTACTTCTCATAGGAAACCTCAATTTTATTTCATTATAGTAAATTTATTTTCCTATTTAAAATTTTCATATAAATGGATCGCACAGTATGTATTCTTTTATATCTAATGGTGAATTGACCAGTTTATCATTATGTAATGTCCCTCCTTATCTCTAGCAAGGCTTCTAGACTTGATGTCAATTTTGACTGGTACTTTGTTTTTTTTAATATTCATTCATTTATTTAGTTGAACCGGGTTTTAGTTGCAGTCGGCGGGCTCCTTAATTGCGGCTTGCCAGCTCATTAGTTGCAACACGTGGGCTCCTTAGTTGTGACAGGCAGCCTCCTTAGTTGTGGCATGCAAACTCTTAGTTGCAGCATGCATGTGGGATCTAGTTCCTTCACCAGGGATCGAACCCAGGCCCACTGCATTGGGATCATGGAGCCTTATCCACTGCACCACCAGGGAAGTCCATTGTCTGGTACTTTTGTAGCCACACAGTATATTGTTTTGATTCATCCACTTTCAACCTATCTATGGTTTTATATTTAAAGTGCATTTTTTATAGATAATGTATAAATAGTTCTTACTTTTTTATCCAGTGTGACAATCTCTGGCTTTTAATTGAAGTGTTAGTCCATTTAATATTGTTTTTGATGTTGGTGGATTTTGGCCCACCATTTTGCCATTTGTTTTCTACTTGTACCATCTATTTTTTGTATTCTTAATCATCTATTCCTTCCTTCTTTTTATTTGTTAATATTTTTAATATTATTCAATTTTACTTGTTCTTTTGAATTCTTAACTATAACTCTTTATGATTGTTTTAGTTGTTGGTATAGGAGTTGTAACATATATCATTCATTTATTACAGTATAATAAGATTTAATATTATACTAATTCATATAAAATGTAAGAACTTTGGAATAATATAATCCCATTCCCCTAACCTTTGCACTATAATAATCATATATTTATAACTATACTATAAACTCGAAAAATCTATATTACTATCAATATTTTTGCTTTAAGAAGTCAAATATCTTTGAAGCAAATTAATAGAAAAAAATGCTATATTTTAATTTTATATTTATTTCATATTTATATTTATCCACATATTTACCATTTCTTGTGCTCTTCATTTCTTCTCACACATGTTAATCTCCATCTAGTGTTATTTCCCTTTACCTTGAATAACTTCCTTTAGCATTTTCCATATTGCAGATATACTGGCCACAAATTCTCTCAACTTACATTTATTTGAAAATGTCTTTATTTTTGAAGGATATTCAACTAAATATAGAATTCAGGATTGACAGATTTGTCCCAGCACTTAAAAGTGGTACTCTACTGTTTTCTAGTTTCTATTTCTGATAAGGATTCAGCTATCATTTGTACTTTTGTTCCCTTATATGTAATATGTCTTTTTTTTCTCCTCTGTCTCCTTTCATGATTCTTTCTTTATCTTTGGTTTTTAGAGTTTTGACTATGATGCACTTAAGTATTTTTTTTTTGTCCTCTTTGGTATTTGCTGGGCTTTTTGAGTATCTAAGTAGATTTTTTTCTCCAAATTTGAGAAAAATTTGGCCATTGTTTCTTCAGATATTTGGTCTGCCACATTATTTCCCTCCTGTTCTTCTGCGACTCTAATTACACATGTGTTATATGGTTTAATATTATCCTGAAGGTCACTGAGGTTCTATTTTTATTTCGATCAAATTCTCTTTTTTTTAAAGATTGGATAATTTCTATTTTTTTTAATTTATTGACTATTTCTTCTGCCATTTCTAATCTGCTGTTAAACCCATCCAATGAATTTTTCATTTCGAATATTGCTCTTTTCAGTTCCAGAATTTTTATTTAATTCTATTTATAGTTTCATTTCTCTGCTATAACATACCATGTTTTATCATTCATTATGACCATCTTTTTTTTACATCTTTGTATGTATTAGTAATAGCTACTTTCTAGTCTTTACCATCTGGATTAACTTTGAGTCATTTCTATTCACTAATTTTTCTCTTGGTGAGGAGTCACTTTTTTCTGTTTTTCTTCGCATGTCTAGTAATGTTTATGGTTTACTGGATATTGTGGATAATACATAGTATAGACCCTACATTCTATTAGCTTCTTCTGAAGACTATTTTTGTTCTAGCAGATTGCAAATTACTGGCCAGTCATCTTGCAGTTGGAAAGGCTGGGCTTTACGTTGGTTAGGTGGGTCTATTCCAGGTGTACCCTTAGTTTTCGGGTGAATCTCTTAATGTTGAGACATCATTTTCTTCCTAATCATGGCCCTTTTGGGCTTTCAATGGAAAGCCTGAATTTTTTATCTGTCCCTTCTAACTTGGCAGGACATAGATTTTAAACCCACAGTGAGCAGCATCTGAAATATCTGCTCAAATCTTTCCAACTTCAAGCTGTGACTCTCTGATTGTCTCTTTAGAGTCTCCTCTGCAATTCAAAGACCCGCCACAGATTTGAGGGGAGTTGACATGCTGATTCACTCCCTCCTTTCTAGACATTTCCTCCTGAATTTCCAGCCACTCTGGCAGCCCAACAGAGCCCTAAATGTTGTCCTCTGACACGTGGGCCCTATCAGATTGTGGCTTTCTGCTTAAGTTATACTTATCCTAAGCATCACAGACTAGGAGTGCCCTAAGGGAAAATGCCAAGTAAAAATGAATCTCAAACAGTACATCTTCCTTCTTTTAAAGATTGAAACTCCTCCAGTGTCTACCTGCTTTTAGTCACTCTCCATTGCTTTAAATAGTTTTTATATTTTGTCCAAACTTTATCCATAGGAGGGATAGTCAGTCGATAGTCTTAAATAAGTAACTCTGCCATTACTGAAACAGGAACCCCAGTGGAATATTTTATGTCTTTCTTGTATGAGCTATGTTTCCCTAATTGGGGAGCTTCCAATGACATGCTCTGTAGAGCATTTATTTTGCCATAGCAGAATTGATAAGGAATGAGAAAAACACTACTGGAAGACTTGCAAAATATACCTTCTCTTCCTAAAACATACTCATACTCCAAACATTCCCTAACTCTCTTTCTGCTCAAAATCCATACAATTTGAGAAACTGATATTCTCAGGAACTGGTACACCCCTCCCTTCATTGGGTCAATGGATTGGGAAAGATCATGTGACCAGGTTATGGCCAGAAAACCTCTGCCTCTGAGCGTAATGACAAAGCTTTAAAATGCAGCTAGAGATCCAAGAGCTGGATGTCACCTTCGTTTGCTGTCAAAATAAGAACTCTGCTTAATAACAATTTAAAAAGAAAGAGGATTAAGTTAAATTGATAATACTCTTCTTGGATATAGACTGGCTTTTCCCTCATTTGGTAAGCTTCAACAAAGGCTAAAGTACCAAAGTCCTTTCTTAAGTTTTATCTTACATGAACAGACCCTTTTGGTTTTATCATATTAAGGTCTGATACATTTTCAATCATCTAAAGTCAATTATCTGAGAGACTATATCAAATAGAAGATGAGTTTTAGAGTCAGACTAACCTGAATTTTAATCCCAGCTGTACCATTATATTAGCTTTGTGATTTGGGCCATGATATTTAAGCTTTCTGATCTTCAGTTTCTGAACCTAAAAAAACATGACTATTAATAGTGATCCTACTGGGAATGCTCTGAGGTTGAAATTAGATAATGTATTTAAAGTGCCTGGCAAAGTATCTGACACAGAGTATGCACTCAAAAAGTAGAAGGGTATTATCATCTTATGATTGTGGTAACAATACTAACATTTTCATTATTAGCTAGCCAGCGGAAGAAAGAGCGCAAGGATTCAAAAGAACAAGATACAGATTTTTTCCTCTCTGTAATACACCATATTCTTTTGGTACTTTGTTATAAAAACTAATTATGGGGGCTTCCCTGGTGGCGCAGTGGTTGAGAGTCCGCCTGCCGATGCAGGGGACACGGGTTCGTGCCCCGGTCCAGGAAGATCCCACATGCCGCGGAGCGACTGGGCCCGTGAGCCATGGCCGCTGAGCCTGCGCGTCCGGATCCTGTGCTCCGCAACGGGAGAGGCCACAACAGTGAGAGGCCCGCGTACCGCAAAACAAAACAAAACAAAACCTAATGATGCGTATCTGGCTCTTCCTTGACTATTTTCCCTGCCTCATCTCTACACTGTTTTCTTCACCAACTTAAAATTCTCACCCAGACCAAACCTTTTTAGGTTTCTTAACTACGCAAAACTCTTTTCACTTTAAAGCCTTTTATTCATTCTGTTCCCTGTGCTCTTGGCCTACCTTTTCACAGATCTGTCTTGAGGTCTTGGTTTAAACATCACTTCTACAGAGAAGTCTACTCTGGCCACCCAATCTAAGTAGCCAGACATTTATTAATCTCATGACATCACCTAGTTTGTTTCTTTTCTAGCACTTTTCACAATTTTTGATTGTACATTTGCTTATTAATTCCCCCCCGCAAAACTATAAGCCCTGTCCTATGAGGGTAGTGACCATATCTGCTTTATTCATTCATCAGCATATCTCGGGCTCAATTTACTCAATGCTTATTTTGTGAATGGGTAAACCAAACAACAAATGTGAGCTAAGAGAGTGCCATGGGGTAAATAAAGTTGGCTTATGATTTGCCACAAATAACTGGCCATAGTTTGTTCTGCAACAGTAGAGGCATGAAAAGCAATTGAGCCATTGAACTTTCAGGGGCACATAAATAACAAATAAACCATTCAGTTATGTTATGTGTACCAATCGATGAGTATTGACTAATGGCTTAAAAAGTAATACCATGCTTTTTTCCCCCTCTCTTCTCTAGAATGGCCACATCTGTTGCTCAGTGGATCCACAGTGCCTTCAGGAACTGTGAAGTTAACTGTCTCACTGGAAATTTCTGTTTAAAGAATGTTCTTTCATTAAAAAGACCAAAAAAAAAAATTGAAGTGGATGATTTGTGGGCAGCTAAGTGCAGCATTGTTAATAGCTGAGTAAACTTTCAATTACGAAATTTGTGGAGCTTGAGAAAATCACAAAAGGAAACTTCTTGGGGCAAAACTAGACCAGAATTCCACCTCAACTGCATCTGATGTTGGCATGTAGAAGAATGCGTGTGAAATACACACCATGACATCACGACCTCTGGATGTAAAGCCTGAGCTTATGGGAGCTTTGGAAGCCTCTAGCTTCACTGGTGCAGAAAATTTTCCTCTAGATCAGAATCTTCACAAATCAGTTCAGTTCTTCACTGCAAAAAATAAAATGTAAGGCAGTGAACGAATTCTGTTTTCCGAAGCAAAGCAAAGAAGCTATAACATATTATATGTACAGTATACACTCTGAGGAGAAATCTGAAACGAGTTATTGTCATGATAAAAATAACGCACAGGCATGGTTACTTAATATTTTCTAACAAGAGATGTCATCCTTATTTCATTGTTTTACTGCACTTAATATTATTTGGTTGAATTTGTTAAGTATAAGCTCGTTCTTGTGTAAAATTAAATAAATATTTCTCTTACCTTATAACATGTCCAAGTGTCTGCATAATGTGTTCCTTTTCCCCCACAGATGCCTCAGTATACAAACTGCTTTCTAGTTCCGCTGATGAGAAACTCCCACCATGCTATTCCCAAACTGAAAGGTGATTTTCACTCCATTTCATGCCGAAGTGGCGGGGAGGAGGGTGATGGATACCTTTGTTCTGCCTCTGTATCCTCTCAGTCATCTTTTACCCTGCCTCATATCCTGGGGGCTGACCTATATACGTTGTATTAGTAGGTTCTCTTGTCCTCTGGATTCTGATTCGGTTTGACCAGTGGTGACCACCGGCAGGATATCAGAAAGAGGACGTTTGGATATTTATTCTGCTGGCTCCTTTCCTGCCAGGTTACTACCATGATTAGCTGTATCACTTACTGAAGGTGACATCTCCTGACACGTGACCCTCTATGTTAAGCTACCCCCTCCAGTTTTTGATAACTTCTATTTGCTTCTTCTGGCTTAGAGATAATAACAACTCTGGCTGCTTTGTCCTTTCAGGTACCTGATCGATTTCTTGTTGTTTTCCCTATCTCCTATTGCATCTTTATAAATCGTCCCTTTGTTAAACTGTCTTTAATTAGCCAGCTCAAGTGTGCCATCTGTTTCCTGCCAGGACTTTGACTGATATACATAAGGAGGGTAGTATGTGAGGGTTGGGAATATCTTCAAGAATTGGTCCTTCACAATTTGATATAAAAATTTAAAGAATCCCAATCTTAGAAGGCATTATGATATTACATGTTAAAATTTTTGATGCACTAGAATCTCAGGAGGAAAAAAATTAACTTACTGATGCCCAATAGAGGAGTTAATCCAATATTGCCCTAGTCATATGTTTTGTGCTAGGGTGAAAAAGGAAATATATTATTAAATTCACTTTTAGTTTAGAGACTTCTTTAAAGAAGAAAAAAAGGGAAAGGAACAGGATATGACTCCCACAAGCTACAGAAATGGTAAAGTGGCATTTTAACTACCCCTTCCCCATTGTTATGGGAACAACCTAACAGGAGCTGAGCTAAAGGATAATTTATAAATGTCTTAATACTTTGGCATGTGTAATATTTATTAAATGTGTGAATTCAGGTATCTCAATATTCCCTGGTTTTACCATAAACGATTTTTTCTGCAGCCTTTTTATATTTAATTTAAAATTTCAGCAGAGCATAAAGTTTATTTTACTTTATAAAAATTTTTTTTTTGGCTGCGTTGGGTCTTCGTTGCTGCTTGCGGGCTTTCTCTAGTTGCGGCAAGCAGGGGCTACTCTTCGTTGTGGTGTGCAGGCTTCTCATTGCAGTGGCCTTTCTTGTTGCGGAGCATGGGCTCTAGGTGCGTGGGCTTCAGTAGTTGTGGCGCACAGACTCAGTATTTGTGGCTCGCGGGCTCTAGAACACAAGCTGAGTAGTTGTGGCGCATGGGCTTAGTTGCTCAGTGGCATGTGTGATCTTCCCATACCAGGGATCGAACCTGTGTCATCTGTATTGGCAGGCAGATTCTTAACCACTGCGCCACCAGGGAAGTCCTAAGTTTATTTTGGGGGGGCATTATTTACTATGGTAACTAGCAATTTAGTCTCCAAGAAGGTATTAATTTGAAGTTTTTTCTACATATTTCTCCCATATATAGATTTGGGATTTCATATTAAATCTCCCTAAAGTATATTTTATTTGCTTTTATGAGGAGAGTGAGAAATAGTATGTGCCTGTGCGTGTGTGTACACACACATACTCAATCTACATCCATATATTTGTATATATTCATCATTTAGATATTTTATGCCTTCTGGAAGAAGAAGCAAGGCTGGAATTGCGTACTCCCAATCTGTTGTCTCTGTAGGGCTCTGAGCATACTGGTGGTTTTCAGAGTCTGGTTTCCATAGACTTCTGAAAGAAAGAAAACTCATAACAGTGAGAAGAAAAGAGGGAAAAAATAAGATTATGTTCTTCCAAGGACCTTTGAACCAATGAATGTGTTCAGATTGAATTTTTCCAGATCCAGGAATATATATATATATATATATATATATATCCAGGAATATATATATATAAGGGATCCAGGAATAAATTTATCAAAAGAGTTGCATGGTCTTATGGAGAAAATATAAAACCACCTTGAACAAATTTTTTTTTGAAGTCCTACAATATACTTAGGCACTGTGTGAAGAGTTTATACAATGAGCCAATTTCACTGCAACAGTCCAGATACCGCAGTGAATAAAGTGCGTACAGAGGGGAAGCACTCACACATTGCTTCCTCATGGAGCTCACATCCTAATGCAGGGCAAAGGAAATTAACAAATAAATAGATGCTATGTCAGGCGTTACGAAGAAAAATTAAGCTGAGTGAATTAGTGATATGGACCAGGGTGCTAGTTTAGATAGGGCGGGGGTGAAGTCCTTTCTAAGATAGAGTGACATTGGAGCAGGTATTTAATGAAGTGAGGGAGTGAGGCATCCACACACCTGGAGAGAGAATAACAAGCAGAGGGAACTGTGCGTGAATAGGTCTGAGATGTGGACTGAGCAAGCTGAGCCTTACAGAGGATGTGGTCACAGGAGTGGCTGGTGACCAAATCACATAGGTTTTCCTAGGCCATCATTAAAGATTAGCATCTTTATTCTTAGTGATTTGGAAGTTGTTAGAGAGATATGAGCATAGGTCTGACATAGTCTGATGACAATTAAAGAATCCCTCTATGCCCTTTATGGAGAATAGACCCGGGATTGGGGCCAGGTGGGGTGTGTGCTGAGCTTGGGTACAGGAGGTACATTTATACCTCAGGATTTCCAACAAGATGATAATGAATTTGGACTAGGATGGCAACATTGAGGGTGAGAAGTGAGGACCATTTAACGTTAAAGAAGATCCGCTTACGTGAAAAAATGGGTAGGAAGACTAAATGTCATAAAAGTGTCACATCTCCCCACTAGTGCTAATAAGGAAAAAATCCTGAACTATTATAGAAAAGCAAATGGCCAAGAATATTTTGAAGAATTATATCTGGGGGCAGGGGAGACTTATTCTATCATATATCAAGAGGGTATAAAGCTATAGGAATTAAGAGTCTTTGTTATGGGAATAACTAAAATAGATGACAGATCAATCTACAATAGCATCAAGACCTCAGAAAGCATCCCATGCACAAATGGATACTTGATATGTGACAGAGGTTATACTGAAGAATTGGACATGTGGAAATTGCTTCTGGAAAAGCAAAAACAAAATTATGTCCTTATTTCATGCAAATCAATTCCACGTAGATAAAGGACCTAAATATATAAAGCAAAATAAATTTATGAAGACATTTTAGGAGAATGCTTTCTGACCTGGGGATAGTTTAAAATAGACTCAAAAGGCATATATCATAAAATCATAGTTAAATTCTACTATATGGAATAGATGAAAAGACAGGTCATGGACTGGAAAAGATATTGGGGTATATATATCCACAAAGGATTTGTAACCGGAATATATGTATTTAAAACTCCTAAAAAAGAAAAAAAGTACAAAATACCCAATAGAAAAATGGTCAGAAGATATACATAACTGTTTCACAAGAAAGGAAATGCCAAAATGGTGAATAAACATGGACATTTGCTTGGGCTCCCTAGTCATCGGGTAAGTTTATATTAAAACCATAATGACAAAATATTTTTAAAAATCAAAAAATTTAAAAAGTAGGATAACACCAATTGTTGGTGAAGATGTGAAACAGCAGGAAGTCTTGCACACCGGTAGTGGGATATACATCACACTTACCTCCACGCCACTTTGGGGGGCAGTTCTGTAATATCTAAAGTCGAGGATATGCACTTGTCATGATCCAGCACATACTCCTACATTTATGATCTAGAGCTGCACTGTCCAATACAGTTGACACTGGACATTTGTGTCTATTTAAATTTAAATTAATTTAATTTAATTAAAATTCACTTCCTCAGTTGCATGAGTATATTTCAAGGGCTCAATGGCTACTCTGTGACTAGTGGCTAGGGGCTACTTTACAGACAGCACAATGATATTCCTATCATCCTAGAAAGTTCTAATGGACAGCACTGATCTATAGGAATGCTCATAAATGTGTATAAGAAGACATGCAAGAGATATTCATAATAGTGTTATTTGTAATAAAATTCTAGAAACCATGCAAATGTCAATCAGTGGGATCAGCAATAAACAAAATGTGGTATGTTTATATTACAGACTACTCTAGAGGATGCAAATGAATACATATAGCAACATGGATGAATCTCAGAAACATGTTGAGTAAAAAACAAGATGCAAAAAAGGAACATTTTTTACAGTATTTACATAAAATTTTTAAATGCACAGAACTTTGTGTTATGTTTATGCAAGTACAAATATGCATAAAATGCATATCAAAATGCATGGGAATGATAAATATCAAATTAGGATAGTGGCTGTCTCTGAGAGGTGGAAGAGGGGTGCCAGGTGCACAGGATGTGTAACTGTGTTGGTAATATCTGTTTATCATTTTATTCTGTATATTTCAGATATTTTAAAATAATGCTATCTATTGCTGACATTCAGGTAAATGAATTTACAAATTGACTAAATGTGGGTTTTTTTTTGTTTTTTTGGGTTTTTTTGTCCATGCTGCATGGCATGTGGGATCTTAGTTCCTGACCAGGGATGGAACCTGTGCCTCCTGCAGTGGAAGCTAGGAGTCTTAACCAATGGACTGCCAGGGAAGTCCCGACTAAATGTGTTTTCATTTATATTTCTATGCCCAAAACTAAGCCAGTTAGTTTTTACATGCACTTATGGAAGTACCCAGATTTGTGGAAGCAAGGCTTTAAACAAATATACACCGTAACGCCTACAAGGTTTCCATTCCTAATTATGTTTTTAAATAAATACTAGTTAAAGGCAGGTAATAAAAGAAAAAAAATGATCACATGATATCACCACCTTTGGTACTGGTTTTCTTTGCTCTTTGTCAAATGCTTACATATTTTACATTGTTGCAAT